AATTTTTTTTAAAAAATAACTTTAATTTTTATTTTTATTGCAGAAGCGCTGGTAAAATCAACTGATTTTTAAAATCACTAATTACAGATTATGTGTCAGATGATCTTGTACGAGATATTTTTAATACTTATTTGATATATACGCCTGCAACAAAGGATGATAATGTAGCATTAAGTCTTTTGAAATCATTTTTATGTAGGGCATTAAGTTTCCATATTGGTGAAAAATTAAATTCTAGTGACCATGACCAAACTTTAAATAATGTAAAAAAATTAGATTATGTTACAAAAGATTTGAAAGTAATATCTCATTTATATGCAGATATTATTAATAATATCTAATAGAGACAAATATAAAAATGCAATAGGTTTTTAGTATAGTATTTCCATAACCATGTAAAAATCATATAGTGATTAAAGCACATGAAAAGCATTTAAAAATATCTTAAAAATAAAATAACTCTATTTGCTTTTAATGATATTATAAAAATTTTAATTGTAAATCTTATATGATATTTTAAAAATATTATAATTCTAATAATATCTTTAAAGTATTATAATAAGCTAAAATGCATTTTAAAAATATTTTTATGATATCATAAAAAAATTAGCCTGCCTAGCAAAGTATCTTAGACTTAAGAGATGCTATCTCATCTTTGTGAACTAATATTGTTAAATCCTGGTGAGATAATGTCTTATAACAGTTTTCTAGCTTCCTAGAAAGTGATTTTAGCTTTTTATCCTTAAGTTTATTTTCAGCTATTTCATCCTCTAATTCTTTGCGCAATTCTTTATTAGTTTTAGGATTTCTATATAAGCGGGATCATCTATATTAATTTCTATTATTCAGATAGAACTGGGTGAAACTCAAAAACTTGATATTTCTATTGCTTTGCAGAAGATTTATTATCAGCCTTCGGGCTATCAGAGAACTGCAAAAAAATTATACAAAGCCTCTCAAAAAGCTGGATATGATTTTTCACTTAATGAGATGCGTGACTGGCTTAAGAGACAGGCTGTTCACCAAATTCATATGCCTCGTCCTAGATTTATTCAGTATGCCTCCTTTAATAATATACAATTTTTAAATGAAGTACATCAATCTGATACTACCCCTATACCTCATGATAAAGTAGGTAATCAGATTTACAAGTATAGGGGCGTTATTAAAGATGTTGCAACTAGGTATTAACATAGTTTTGCATTGACTGATAAATCTTCTGCACAAATGGCTAAGAATATTCAAAAAATTTATGATAATCCTAAGGAGCCTCTCTCTTAGCCAAATTGTTTTAATTCAGATAAGGAGATGGAATATATGGTTATTCCTGATACTGAGTTACCTCCCTAATGGGTGCTCACAAATTAAATTTCTAAAGTGATAATAAGAAGTCTTCTGTTTCTTCGTCAACTTGTTTATCA